TAGGCTGAATGGAACGACTGGTGACCGGATGGAGGAATACGACGGTAAAGCCGATGTAGTCATGCAGCGCATTAACCAGGAAATCGACCAATTCGATGACATACTGCTGGGTGACTACGAGGACACGTATTACAACGTGACGTGGAAGACCTTCACGAACCTGCGATGGCTGTCAGCATTCTGCAACAAACACCACGCCAACGCCTTCATGATGATCGACGACGATCATCGCATGAATCTCTCCTTGGTGGCAGAGTTTCTCACAATTGCACCAACTGAGACGATGCGAAAATCCATTTTCGGCTACATCGCTAAATCCGACATGGCATATAGGTCTCCATCGAAAAAGTGGTTCCTATCCTACCGCGAATTCCCATGGGATTTGATGTATCCGTATCCACGGGGATTTGCCCAATTCATCGGAGCCGACATCGTTGACGACATGGCCATCGCGAGTGCATACACGCGGTACAATTATGCACCAGATGATGTGGTCCTTGGAATTGTAGCATTGAAACTAGGCATCAATTTGCACAATGTGGACTCAGTGTCATATCCCCTCTGGAGTAAGGAGGGCAACCAGATGCCGTTTCCACTAATGGTGGGTCCGAGCGAGTTGTTTGATGCAAATCAGACCTCAAGCAACTGAACATGATTGCCTTTCTTTATGCACTACTTCTTACGTACCCAGTCTTACATCTCTTGTTTCAATTAGCACACATTTGAAACGGTATCAGTCATAATTGAGGGGTGGTTGACTTTGCACATGCCACAAGTGCTGAGATGTCTGAAGTCAATTGTTCTATTATACCTATCCACCAATAAGTGGTATGTATTCTAAGCACCTACCAATCAGGTCTGTGTCATGCCTTGACCGGTTTCATACAACGAATTCGGTAGCAATGATAGAAGAGGCTGATGCTCATAACCTTTGTTTAAACAATATCGCCAACAGTCTGTACAAGCATCACGTTTTTATGCTATTCACTGGATTGGCGCATTCTCAGCCAATCAGATGTCGTCCACTCGAAACAGTGAATAGGAACTCGGGCCAAATAAACTAATTGTTAACCAGAGAATTAATGACATGGTGAGGTAGAGAATAGAAGTCAGCGACATGCTATCGTGATGAATATTAGTTACAAAATTGTGACTCATATCCAGGAAATCAGTGCTGCAGCAGCGAAATCCAGCCACGTAGTACTAGTGAGGCTTGATGTAGGTTTTCTTCCACCGAGTTTATTTTAACTCACGTTTTTTTTAAATAATGCCAGAATTGGTTACACAGTGTAGAATACCTAGGCTCTAGCATGAAGTAGACAGGAAAATACGATCAGGCCTAATTCACCAAACACATTTGAGGACCATCCATGAGTATAGGATATTTTCGTCCACCGTTGAAACATTGCATTGGCCATGTGTCGAAAGCTGGTTTACATCCTCGTGCAATTTGCACTGATTTTTAATTGTGCTGCACCCATGTGGCCTGCATCTTAAACAGTGGTTATGCATCTTGAGCACCACATGCAAGATTGTGAAGAGCTCTTGAAGATGATCTGGCAAATCCACAGTTTGACTCATGCAATTCTGGGGTTAGCTGGGTGCAATGAATGAGAGCACGCCACACACTCACACACACAAACGTCTTTGTCAAGTAGCCTTAAGTTCACGGCGCAAAATAGCACAGTTTCTGTTAACCAATGGTATCCGATGCAATTTAATGGAATATTAAGCACTACTATTCGTTCTATGTTCGTCCGAATATTAAATTGTTGAGGGGCGTTTTCTTGCGCCACACATTAAAATCGAAAGGAATTTTGTCAGTTGAATACTTTCAACTTCTTTTACCAAAGTCACTATCAAACAGTCCTTTGAAGCTACTACCGATTATTTCAAAACGTTCTCGGAATCATTAGAAAGTAGAGCGTGAGTAGAATGTGAGATATGGCCGTACGGCTAAACCTCAAATCTACGATGAAATTGCATCCTCAAATAACGCATGATTTGATTTCTCATGATTTTGATGAGATGCCACGCTAATCCAGGATACTGGGGCGATTTCTACCTTGTGCCACACGTGTCAGCATCGAATTTCGTCAACCTAATCGTTCGAGCTGGTTTTTTGTCTCCGATGAAAGCAGTTCTGTTTCTTCTAACTTTTCTTCATTGCCTCTATCTCGCTTTTGTCAAACATTCAATTGGTTATCAAAGCTTCCTTTGGGTAGTCGCAGGTTATGCAAGCTTTTGCTTCACGATTTTGAAGAGATACCATGCTGACCCCGAAAACTGGTTCAACATCTACTGGTGTGCCACGCGTGTCTGCAGGTGCTTTCGTTAAACCTAATCGTTACATCTGGTGTCAGTCTCCGGTGAATCCAGTTCTGTTTCCTCTAGCCTTCCTTTATTGCCGCTATCTTGCCTTGGTCAAACATTCAATTGGTTATCAAAGCTGCATTTAATAGTACAGGACCACAGTAACTCTTCTGTAAAGACGCACCCAAGATAATTGGCGACTTATTGGGCATCGCAGTCTTATCAACAAAAGGGTAACCACAAAGCAGAAGAAAAAATCGAGCAACGTGACAAGTAGTTGTGTTGGCCAAATTAAGCTCTAGCGAATTGAAAGAATTCTCGTCGATACTGATGCGTCGCGATAAATACGTACTTTGATGCAGAATTGTACCTTGTGTTTGCACTTGCGATGGCCATGTCGTCGACGATGTCAGCTTCGCTGAATTGGGCGAATCCTCGTGGATACTGATACATAAAATCCCATGGAGTAGGAACAGAACGCAATGTAGATTGAAACACGTATTTGGCGATTACATTGAAAATGGACTTTCTCACGTTCTTGGTAAAATCACTTCTAAGACAGTGTCATCCCTGAAACATGCGTCCTTTGATGGTTGCCGATGATCAAGAAAGTGATTTTGTGGAGCCTACTGCAAAATATCGACATCGATTTTTGGTTGACTGAAATGAAATTGATTTGCCCGTCTGCGTTGACCAAGTTTGACTACCAAAGTCCGGATTTGAATACAATTTTCGATAAGTCGAATCAAATGTGATAATGTGACATTCGGTTGATCAATTTAAAGCAATGAATACTGATTGATGTGTTGAAAGACAGAGCGTGTTTGCAGAACGGTCTAGCAGTTAACTAATAGGATTACCTTAGCTAATTTTGACATCTTAAAAAATCATTGAGCACATCACCGAACTAGTACGTCAATGGACATCAGGCCTGCAGTATGTTCATTGAACGGACATCGCCCAGTGCCCACCGTACCCGTCAAAGAGTCTCTGTACTCCCCAGTCGATTAGCTTTAGCCTTTAAAACTATCTTTGAGATTGGTGGACTGTAGGTGCCTAGAATCGATTATTAATTTGAATCATTCGAGATTAAAACAAAGCGAGAGATTCATGCGAGCATTCATATATTTGACGAATTGATGGTTGGTTGAAATGTTTGAATACGAAGCAAGACAATGTGGCAACCCTTCAATCCAGTCCGTTTTGCACATTTATGAATCGAAAATTATTTGTTTACTGAATAACCGCAAGCACAAGTTAGTTTTAACTACGCGGAAATGGTAGTTTTGCCTCAGTTCCCACACACAATCATTCACCTCATGACATATTTTCAAAGACAGTCAACGTGTGCGACAATGCTGATTGAGAAGTCATTTTACTTTCCACACGTGGTGACTACTTGTCATCGAAATCATGATGGCGAGCTGCTGACAATGACAGTAGAACGCGGATTGTGTAGTAAAGGAGAACCAACCAACTTGAAGTATTTGCCACATCATCAATTCACCCAACCATCTTAGGAACATGCGTATTTGGTGGCTTTGCATATCAAAGATGTTCACGACTGACGCAACACTGGGTAGCATTGCAATTGACTTTAGCACTTACTCTGGTTGCCTCTTCCGCGTCGCTGATAGGCTCAGCAATTCCGAATTCGTTTTCGATGCTGGAGCCGATGTTTGCGTTGGAGCCTCCGCCTTCCACAATTTTGATCATGGACACCCCATGCACACATTCATGTTGCAACGCACAGCAAGCAACAACTACTCAGCTCCCATTTTAGAGCCGGGGAACTGTCTAGTTTTATTTTTAAAGTTAATCATCTGGTCAGGTTTCCTTTGCATACCGTAATGACCTGGATAACTTTAAAAAACGCATGCTTTTAAAAATATTCGACTGCTTTTATGCTGACAACCACACCCAGACGTTCGCAATCTGATTAGCTTGGGGTTCCAATCATGAAATTCATTCATATTTGCCTTTAAAGCCACACACGTTTTGCCCTGCCACGGGCTTTCGCCAATTATCATTGAGAATAATTTGGTAAAACATTAACCATTGGTTGTGAGCCAATTCACATTGAACTGCATTTCCATTCATGGTAAGCACCGCTAAAAGCGCGGACTCAAAAAGCCTTTTACGGTTGCATTATGGCTTATTTCAATGTGGATATAGTTCATTTTGGTGCTGTAATAGGAAAACATGTGCGAGTGGTTCAGAGGGACATTTAGACTTGCACTAGGGACAGAAAGACCCGCTTCCACAGCGTTGACAATTATCTTTAGTGGAACGTTCTGTGGGTAAGTGCGATACACCTGAGAATACATCGCAACTGTCCAAAAATGCCTCGATATCATTCCAAGACCCTCACATAAAATTGCGCACATACCTTAGAAACCAAGAAACAGATCGAAAAGGGGATAGGTTTTGGGAGTGTCGGTTAGTGGCACACTGGGATCCAGACGTACACACAGAGTTGTGTTGTGCCCTCTTCCGTAGTGAGTGTCCTCACGCGTAGAAAGCGGCCTTTTGCAGGTCACGTTTAGCGGTATCTCCTCCACTGTTTTCACTTCCTCGATTGAGGTGTGATTTGGCTTTGTAGGTAGTACGACAACATTGAGAAAATAAGTCCCACTAGGAGAAGCCAAATTATATATTACGCTCTGGTATCATGCTTCATTCTGTCGACTAGCTCATTTTTTGAACTCTGGTTGTGAGACCGTTTATATTGTGCTTGCCAGAGGTCGTTAACTGCCTGATAGCACGAGTCGCTGCAATTGTCATTATACTAGTGCACGTCGATCACCGCCAGCTTAGTGTCTGGATATTCAACCAACTAATGCGACATCTGTGCCACTGTGCGAACTGATTTCTTTGAGTGAGAACTTGCATGCCTCCTTTAGCAAGCGTTTTTCAGTGGTACGTTGCATAACCGCTGATGTGCTTATTGAGAGTTTTTAAACAGCGACCAATCAAAGTTGTGGCTTTTTCAATTATACGAATGTCGCTTCTGTAAACCCGTTCGGACAAACTTCCACTCATTCGCGTCTGCAGATCAGCCACTAAATCCATGCGAAAAACCAATAAGAGAAATGCCAAATTCGTAGACCACAGACTTGAACGGAGATAAGTAGTGCCAGTGTTAACATTGAATAGTGGGACCGTTGTGGTTCATGTAGCCATTGATGGGATTGGCATTGCCGTCAAGCAGCATGGACTGAGCTGTCGCCAGGGTAAACACTTGATGATGCTGCTTGAGTGTCGACTTGTTGACAGAGGTAATGGAATGTCTTAAATACCAAAAATATCAATGACCACTTAGTGATGAGCGTGATG